CCCCCCCCCCAACCCCCCGCCCCCGAAATGGTAAGAACTTGTGTAAGGATGGAGTTAGTTTATCCGTGCTAATGCTTTGATTTTTCTTTTCTCTTTCTCTTTGCCACAGTAGGTAACCAGTTAGGGGCCTTGGTACATCAAAGGTAAGCAGTGGGTTATGTTTTATTATTTATTGATCATTTCTAATTGTTTATTGATCCACCATCTGTACTAGAGTGTTAGCAAGTCAGAGGTTGAGAGTGTGAAAAACCAGGAGCTAGATTTCTTTAAGGCTCAGATTTTTTTTTTGTTTTTTTTTTTAATAGTCCTTTCCCAGACACTGGAAGCTCGAGGGATAAATGAACAGGGAGTATTAAAAATCAGCCACTATTATATGTAAACTCAATGGACCTCTAGGATGTGGGAGCTGCTTTTTTTCTCTGTCCACCTACTTCTAATTTAAAAGGAGAGACTGTGAAATTTTCCATCCTGATTTGACGGCTTTCCCCGTGTTTTGAGAACCCTTAACGTCTTCATCTGAGCAAACGCGTCCCGAAGAAGCGTGAGTCACTGGGCTTTCACAGGATAAAGCTTGTGATTCACAAGGAGTCGTGGGCCTGAGAGGGCAGAAGCCCAGGGCCCACCCCGTGCCCTTGCAGCAGGGACTTGCCAGAGAACCTTGGAGAAGTGCCCATGTGATCCCCTGCCTCAGTTTACCTTCATAGCCTTCCCTTACAGACTGGGGATTTAGAGAGATACAAAGGCCTCTGGGCTTTAAACAGACCAGTCTCTGTAAGGTGCAGTGTTTGCAGTCACAACGTTATCCTTTAAAAAGAATGAAATACACAGGAAAGCCTGGGACAGTGTCTCTTTCCTCACGGATGAAATTCTGTGCTGTGCATCAGTTACTGTAACATATTATCCTTCATTTTCACCAGCAGCGATACAGCTGTGTCCTCTTGTATGCTGCACAAATGTTGGGGGCTTTCTAGAAATCCTCAGGCACCAGTCAACCAGAAGATTTAGCCTGGGTTTTGCCATTGCTGTGTTACTGGTTTGCTGTGTTTTTTAATGAACTAAAATAATTTAAACGATGTTGTTAGTATCAGACGTCACTCTCCCATAAAGCCTTTTATAGAATTTTACTTTCCAAGATGTCCGTACTTTGTGCATTAGACAAGCTTCGGCCCCGCAAGTCAGATGGAGCTTTGTCTCCAGGGAGCCCTGAGCAGCCAGCCCCTCTTCACACACCTCTTCCTCAAAGAGGGTCGGCTCTCACCGTCCTGAGGGCGGAGGACCTGCCTGAGTTTTGCGACAATTTGTATTACGATAGCGTTGAACCCCGTCGGTAAATTCCCCAGTAACCCCTGTTGGGAATAGACAGCAGGTGCCATGCACACGAGCCGCAGTCTCGTGGCTGCACGTATGGGAGCACCGTCACCCTCCACCCCAGCCAGGAAACCCTTCCCACGGGGACCCCGCGCCTCTTTCCGGATGTGTTGGGCCCGCCGAGGCTTGGCATTTTTGTCCGCGGTTTACTGATTTAGGAAGCTGGAATTGCCTGATTTCGGGCTGAGCTCCAGTAAGTACCCCAAGAGCCAGAGAGGATCCCTGCACACGTATAAACCGGGTGAGGTGAGCTCTGGGAGGCGGAGGCTGTTAGGTCTCATCAGACTGACACGCTGGCAAGTGATACTTACGCTATTGAGTTCCTTCCAAGTGCCACACTTGCCCTAAAAACGTGCGTTTTATTCGATCCTTTCCGTGATGGGTAAAAATCCAGCTGTGCGAGAGATGTTTAAAAATGCTTATTACCCTTTTTTCTTTTTAAACTACTTGTATTTAGCATTCTCCTAAGGTAAATGTTTAGATTTGATTGCTTTCTGGGGCGTCGGGCAAATTGGATATTGTCCGCAATACACTGTATGGCAAATCGGAAGGTTTGTTTGAAAGAACCAGCACAGTAGTTGTTTAAAAAAAAAAAAAGTGAAAAACAACCCAACACGTAAAGGACGGGATAGCGTTTGACGGAAGTACCCGATTATTCCGTCCTGGTCAGCACTGATTAGGCCTCTGTTGGATGCTGGTTCCATTGGGAGTATCTCACCCTAAACATCAGATAAATTAGAGGGAGGCCAAAGAACAAGAAAAAGATTGGGAAACGGGGAATGTTGAAGAGATGTTGAATATCTGTATCCAGAAAGGAGACCAGAGGAGAAAGCTGAACTCACTCCGCAAGCCCCAAAGAATGTTTCGAGTGTTAGGCAATACTGAGAAGAAAATACTGTTCTAAATACTGTTCTAAAATACTCTCCTAAATACTGTTAGGAGAGTTGACGGTTTCGTGAAAAATCAGAGGTTTCTTCCTCTGACACAAGGAGAGAGGAGGCTTGGGTCTTTTCGAGAAGTGATTGACCGGAGAGGGTCCATCAGACGGCGCTCTTTTCTCGAGGGCTGTGGCCTTGGTGGCCCAGTCGGCACGGTTCATTTTAAGTCTCTATCTTCCAGCATTGCCCGTACGGGAAATTTGGGGAAAACCTAAAATGGCTGTGAATTTCTTTATTCTATATGTTTTTCCAAAATGTTCTTTGTTTTTAGGGCAGTAATAACAGAAGAATTCAAAGTGCCTGATAAAATGGTTGGATTTAGTAAGTATCCGCATTACCTACTTGCCCTGATTAACCTTGCGGTGTGACTGTCACTGTGGTAGAATGCTTTGCACAGTGTGTCCCCCAGAGCCCCGAAGTGCTGTGGGTCTCTCTCCAGGCTGAGAGAGATTCGTGGGTCCCTCCCTTCCCACCCCCACCCCTGTCCTCCTCCCCACCGCACCCCTCTCTACAGTTCAGCTGGAGTACCCTGTATTTGTCTGCTGTGTTTCACCTGTGATTTTTTTCCATGGGCTCACCAAGGCCACCCTGATTTGTAGTGCTGCGAGCCAAGTGTAAATGTTTGCTGAGTTAATTAAGTCATTCATGCATGGCTAAAGATGGGGGGGGGGCACGTTCTGACCTTGTTCAATTTGTTTCAGTTATCGGCAGGGGAGGTGAGCAGATTTCACGGATTCAAGCAGAATCTGGTTGCAAAATTCAGATTGCTTCAGGTAAGGCTTCTTTTTTTCGTAGATCTCAGTTTGGTAGAAATCAGTGTTTTGCCAAGTTTCCCAGATTCATTACCTTTGCTCGTTACTTAGAAGTCTGGGGGCCTGGGTAAGTATATGGGATTGCTGTTTTCCTTGTACTTTTGGAGCCGGACTCCCAGATGAGAACCAGAAAAACCAGGGCAAAAGCAGGCCCAGACACGAGGCCCTCCGCAGTTCCGTGGCTCCTCGTGGCCCCTGCCAGACGCCTGCTGCCCTAGGATCTCTGTTTTCTGCACCAGGATGTTATGCCAGACGGCAGGGCCCGGAAGAGTGCTGGGGCTCTGGGATCACTCCTGGGGTCTGCCCACCAGCTTCCCTGCAGTGGGACCGCCCTGGCCAGCTGGGGGTTCTGGCTAAATGAGCATGTGTTAAACACAGTCCAGGACCCTCCCCAGCTGGGTCCGTTTCGACCATGCGACATGGAGAGAGACAGATTGCGGAAGAAGCATTTTTATTAATAGGTCTAACGACGAATTTGCATTTGTTCTCTTTCCGTAGTGGAGGAGGGGCTTTGGAGGAGTACAGTGCGCTAGAGAAGGTGTTATCCACTGAAAAGATACACATTACAGTGTCTTGAGGGCAGCAATTGGTGTTAGTTGTCCTTTTTTTTTTTTTTTTTTTTTGAGTGAGAATTTTGAGAGGCAGCTTTTTTTTAGGAATAAAGTAAAGCATTGTGTGGTGTTGGAAAGCAAGCTTTTCCTGTGTGGTCACATGGCCCGGAACTAGTTCCACGGAGATGCCCCCGACGTCTCAGGGTAGCCTTGCAGTCGCGGTGAGATCATCCGGAGGTGCAGACCGTTAAATCCCTCGCTAGGGAGCCACCGGGCCGCTTGGGAACAGGCGACCTGAAGCCGCTCTGCGAGCAGAGAAACTGAGGAAGAGCGGGTTACGGGGCTCAGGCCCTCCTTGGCACAGAGACGGGTCCGAAATGAAGCAGGACTGGTCATTAGGGCCCACTCGGCCACCTCTGCCATGTCCTCCCACTTCCCCTGCAGAACTTGTTTCGACTTTGAGAACCTAGGGTGGCACTCCCAGCTTACTGTTCTGCCCGCGGGCGGAAGCAGACCGTCTTTTTCTGGGACCCGGGCTTCTGTGGGGCCGGCGTAGGAGCCAGCCCAGAGAGGCAGTCTGTACGTGGGGCAAAGGCGCACAGCGGCCTGGCGCCCACCAACACACCTCCTCTTCTTGGTTCTTCTTATAGAGAGTTCTGGGATTCCAGAGAGGCCCTGTGTACTTACCGGAACCCCAGAAAGTATTGAGTAAGTTTATTTTATTTACTTTTTCCTTGTACTCTTCTTCTTCCTTCCCCACGTGGGGAGAAACGGAAGGGCAAAACTGTCACTGAGCACGGTGGATCTGTGCCGCGGCCCGGCCACGACAGCAGGCGCTCCTGCGGAGAAGGGTCCGGGAGGCTGCCACGCCAAGGGAGTTTCCTGTTGAACGCACGCGGTAGCGCGTTTTGGTCCAATTCCACAGAGTTTCTGGCGGCTGTCCTAACATCTCCTTCCTACACCAGGTCCCTTAAGAGCGTGCGCTCACCCCACCCGAATGCTCTAGTCAGCCTTCTTCTTCCTTGGCGCTATCTCCTTTGCCCGAGCAGGTCTGCATTCGTGAGCCCGTCACTTCGGGAACCAGGGGGACATGCCGGCACCAGGTCTTTTGCCTGGGCCGGTCCCCCTGCCCTTCTGACACTTGCGAACCAAACGAATTGACTCTCGGTGGCCGTGGCTCCACTCGGGGGGCTGTATGGACTGATCAGAGGGCATCTTGGCTTTCAGGGCCCTGGCAACCACCTGACGTTGCTTGCCGCCCCTGGGCCACCCGAGCTCCGAGCCTCGTATCAGATGCAGGCCTCGTCGATCCGACAGCCTCCTAGGGGACAGGGAGGTACTAACTTCCAGTCTGCTCGCTTCCCTCTTTCGATCCACTGAGTAGCATCGCACTTGGGGACAGGGGTGCCGAGATTATGTCTGGCTCAAAAGACAGGGCTGTTTCATCGTCTCCATTTCTCCGGGAGTCCAGATGAGTTTAAATTCTCTTGTTCTGCCGTCGCATTGCAAGCAGTGAACCAGAATAAAGATTGCCGGCAGGTGTGCATTCTAGGGCACGCGGGATGGTTTTGCTGGAGTCACGGCATTTTTCTTCCAACACAGGTTAATTTAGCACACTAGCAAAATACTAAAAAGCCGCTAAGCTGAGAAGACCCGCAGGCCGATTCTGCCCACAGAGGCTCAGGACTCCCAGAGGCAACATCTGTTTCCCACCTTACTCTTCTAACCGTTCTGCGTCTCTTCTCCCCAGGCCTTCGGGGTAACAGGATTGTAACTTCAGGACAGTACAGCCAGCCTGTGTAGTAGCTGAATTCTTCCCTATTGGAGGAACCAAAAAATAGGTTGTACGTGGTGTTTTAAAGAATAAACAGTGAAAACAAAACAAAAGCCAGCCAGGGGAGATTCTGGTGCAGAAAAGGCAGTTGCCCCATCAGGTGGCCTCGGTGGGTTGGGTGGTACTGGTTGAACGCTGCGGTTTCCCTCCCCCGCCTCCAGATCAACCGGCACCAGACAGCATCGCAGGGAAAAACAGGGTCCTGAAAATCCAGCCGGAAAAGCTCAGAGCAGGTGTTTGTCACCCTACAGCCGCACCAGCGTCCTGCCTCCTCCCTCTCCCACCCCTCGAGACCAAACTGGTGGTTCACAGCCTTTGCTCAAAAGTCGTAGATGGGGCGCCTGGGGGGCTCAGTCGGTTGAGCATCCGACTTCGGCTCGGGTCACGATCTTATGGTTCATGGGTTCGGGCACCGCGTCGGGCTCTGTGCTGACGGCTCGGATCCTGGGGCCTGCTTCCGATTCTGTGTCTCCCTCTGTCTCTGCCCCTCCCCCACTCACACTCTCTCTCTCAAAAATAAATAAAGATTAAAAAAAAAAGTCGTAGAGCAGGTTGGTTAGGGAGAAGACCTTTGGAGTCTGGGAATTCGGATGGTGATTACTAACCCTTGCTTTCTTTCCTCCCGTCTCGTCTCTCGCTGCTCTCTCCTGCCCATATTTAACCAGTGTCATCCTGAGTGTCTACTCTGGGGGAAGCGTCATGCCGGACTGGGGACCAGAGGGAGCAAAGGTGGTCTCTGCCCCCATAGCGGCTGACATTTCTGATAGGAGACGAGACACGTGTGTGGAGTGAATGCCAGACAGCAGCACGAGCAGAGGGCAGGCTGGAAGGGGCTGTGTTGGAACACTGGCGTGTGGTGTGGGTCGCTTTTAAATTCTAGCCCAGTAGCGTGGCGGATGGCAGAGACCTCCCGGGTTGTGGGGGCAGGAGCTGGAGCTGGATGGAGGGCTGCCTTGACTCCTTCGTGTTCTTCCCCCCCGGTGCTGTTTCCCCTTCGTGGGTGCCTAGCGCATTCATTTAATGCTCCTTCTCTTGTGATTCTCTTCCCGCCCAAAGACAAGCCAAACGGCTCCTGGGGCAGATTGTGGATCGCTGTCGGAATGGACCTGGCTTTCATAACGACATAGACGGCAATAGCACCATCCAGGAAATTCTTATCCCCGCGTCTAAAGTGGGTCTGGTCATCGGCAAAGGAGGGGAAACAATAAAGCAGCTGCAGGTAGGTGAGCCCTTAGCACAGCGGCGCTTAAACACACCTTCCAGCATCGCCGGACAGATGCTTTTCTGAACATTTACCCTGGCCAGGCCTGAGGCCCGCTGTGATGCCGGGTCCTGCAGCTCCCCCGCCCCGCCCCCCGAACTTAACCACGTCCTTGGGGCAGTGACGCTCTGCTAGGATTTTACCACCAAATGACCACATCTCAGATGAAAAGACTGTGTCCAGAGCTGGGGCTCTTAGCCAGCCGTACGCCCCCTCGTTACCTGTGTGATCTTAAACACGTTTCTGTATATCTCGAGGACTCGGGAGTCCTCGTCCATAAAGGCGGGGAAGTGCCTGCCTCACTGTTGTCAAGAAGCTGAAATAATACTCGTGGTTTTATGTTTGTTTAAGACCCCAGCCCAGAGCCTGCTACTGAGCAGATGCTCTGTGGATGTTAGCTGCTTCTGTTCCAGAATCCCCCATCAGAGACCTGGGGAGCCAAATATGTTTCGGAATTGAACAGCCCCGGCAAGTTCCGGGACCGCACCCTGTAATCCGATGCCTGTTTCCATAGCCAAACACAATGACGGTCACGCTCAGTGAGGGAAGGGTCTAGAAATAGGCTTCCGTGACCTCAGGCTGGGTCTAGAAATAGGCTTCCGTGACCTCAGGCTGGCTTTGCTGCCAAATGAGTTAGGAGCAGACTTTTATTTCCGAACTTTTGGGCTTTCGAAGTGGCAGGTCAGGGGTCCTGGTCCGCCGTGGGTGCCCTCTCGTGGCCCAGGCCCCGGACAGGTGACACGCTTGTGCGTGGGCTCCAGAGCCCTGGAAGCCGGAACCCGCCTGTTGCTCCCTCCCTCCCGCTCTGGAAGCCCCGGCGACTTGCTGTCAGAGCCCGCCCAGCAGTGAACGAGAGAAACGGTCGCACCCGCTTCTCAGAGCTGCGCACCAGCCCCAGCGAGAGGATGTCCGCGCTGGGCACTACATAAAAATTGCTCACTAAACTGGGATCTTCTGGGGACCAGGAAAGGAGAAGGGTTGGGGGAACCGGTTTTCCGTCTCGCACTTGGAGGCTCTCTGGCATGGCCTGTATGCCGGCATCCTCGGGGGACAGCGCCTCGTGGTGGGTGGGACGTGGCCCGGCCCTGCTTCTCGTGCGGCACTGCATTCTCCTTCGTGGCGGTGAGGGCCATACCGCGTGCTGCCCCCACAGGAGCGGACCGGTGTGAAAATGGTCATGATCCAGGACGGCCCGTTGCCTACGGGAGCAGACAAGCCTCTCCGCATCACCGGGGACCCGTTCAAAGTACAGGTAGGAAAGACACCATGAATCGGGCAGGCCCCGGGTGTGGGGGTATCACCTGGTAGGACGCGTAGGGCTTTTACATCATTCGGGAAGTTCGAAAACTGGATGGTCCCTTACTTAAGGTCAGCCGTCGTCCCAAACCAGGTGTGATGGTGGAAGGGCTCGGGGGTTGTACTGCCTACACCAGAGCCACTGGCCACAGGCGGCCCTTTAAATGAACTCGGATTCAATGATTGAGCTCCTCATTTACGCTGGCCATATTCTGAGAGCCCAAGGGCCCCATGAGGATGGTGGCTGTGTTATGGGTCACTTACCCATAAACGAAGATGGTTTTGTTGCACTGATCGGATGCAGTTCTCCACGTGGTGGCCTGTGGGTCCCCTCGGGTGCCGGCTCTGTTTGGCTCTTCCTCGCTCGTTCTCTCTCGGCCTGTTTTTGCAAGGCCTCCAGCTCAGGCAGGAGGTGAGCACCCCACGGGCACGTGTGTGTCCTCGTAGCAAGTGTCCTGTGCCCTGAGCTCCTAGCCACAGAGGGCAGCCCGTTTCCGAAAGCAGGGAGGGGCTTAGCTGGAAACCGTCATGACCTGAGCCGAAGGGGTGGCCCCACCGTCCACCTCTTGCCGTCGGCAGGGATGCGAGTGGGCTGCGGGCGTGGGGACGTGTCTGTTCCCTGTGATGCGAAGGTTCTTTTCCTGCCCGCTGCAGCGTGCCTCGCCTTTGCTGCACTTAGAGGAGCTCCTGGGTGACGCACCTTGCGAGCTGGTCTGTCAGCAACAGCGGTTCCTCTGTCGGAGTCTTGGCGCTTTGATCCGGTGGATATTACCAGTCTCTGGCAAAATATTCCCCCCCCCCCGACTCTCCCCTCCCCTCCCCAGCATTATACGTACGTGTGTGCGTGTTTATTTACGTATTTATTGTAGTTGACCCACGATACCATGTCAGTTTCAGGGGTACAACATAGCGACTCAACATATTGTGAAATTGTAGACATTATGATAGAAGTGTGCTTACCGTCCATAACCGTCACCATGCAGGGTTATTACAGCATTATCGACTGGACCCCCTATGCTGTACTACTCAACCCCGTGACTTACTTATTTCATAACTGCAAGTTCATGTCTCTTAATCCCCTTCACCTATTTATCTTTGAGAGAGCCTGAGTGTGTGCGCGAGTAGGGGAGGGGCAGAGAGAGAGGGAGACAGAGGATCTGGAGCGGGGTCTGTGCTGACAGCAGAGAGCGTGATGCAGGGCTTGAACCCACAAACCATGGATCGTGACCTGAGCTGACGTCGGTTGCTTAACCGACCGAGCCACTCAGGAGCCCCTGTAAAATAATGGTTTTAAAACAGGATTGAGGGCCAGTGATTAAAACGGTCTCTTTCCGTAGGCTCCAGTCAGGGACACAGCCCTTTCCACCCTTCAGGTGGGCCCAGGTCCCCCAGGGGCCTTTCCTCCCAGGGCTTTTCACCTCTTCAGTTGCTTGCAGGTGGGCTTGCCTTCTCTGTTGGAACTTCTGGTTCTTTTATGAAAAGAATACCAGAGCAAAGAGCTTATTTTGTTAACGCTTCAGAAATTTGCAGGAAAATAACTACAACAGGTTTTTAGTATTTTTTTATTTGAAAATTGTTTGCTATATTTAGTATAAATTATTGTTCATTTGTTTTCTCTCTGTCCCCAACTTTAAAAAAAATTTTTTTTTAATGTTCTTATTTATTTTTGAGAGATGGAGTGTGAGTGGGGGAGGGGCAGAGAGAGAGGGAGACACAGAATCCGAAGCAGGCTCCAGGCTCTGAGCTGTCGGGCCAGAGCCCAAGGCGGGGCTCGAACTCACAGACCGCGAGATCGTGACCTGAGTCGAAGTCGGACACTTAAGCGACTGAGCCACCCAGGCGCCCCATATCCTCCCCAACCTTTTATCATGAGAAACTTCAAGCTTACAGACACGTTGAAAAGAGAGAAGAGTGAGCACCTGTGTAGCCCCATCCTGCCTGTCATTTTACCACACTTGTGTCTGTGCGTGTGTGTGTTATTTATTCACTTACGTCCTCCTCGCCAGTTGTAAGTTAGTGGCAGGCGTCAAAACTGTCCGCCCGTAGATCCTGCAACATGTCTCTCCTGAGAACTAACTTCCGCAAAACCAGGCCTAAGAAAGTAACAGCAGTCCCCTAACATCCTCTTACAGCCTGTCCGTACTCCCGATTTCTCCAAATGTCAGAAGACTTTAATCGCTATTTTGGGACTTTTTGGTTTGGTTTGGGTTTACCAGAACCAGGGTGCAGTGTGGGCTCCCAATGACCTTGAGCTGTTCTGCACGGCTGGTGCTTAGGGCAGATTCCGGTGGGGCTGGGACTGGTGTGGGCCGGCCTGCTGGGCTTCAGTGCGTTTGTGGGGAGAGGAAGGACGTGCCTCCAGGATTGCCAGGCCTGGGAGGCAGTCTTGGCCTGTATTTGGGGTATTTGATCTCTGGGTACTAGAAGGTCTTTCCGGGCTCCTTGGGCTGGCCTTTTCCCTTTATGTCCCTGCTGCTCCTCTGTGATGGGGTGCCTTGTAATGTCTTCTCTTCCGTGGAACCTGCCCACAGAGCTCTCCGAAAGAGACAGTGTGCCAAAATGCCTCAGGGCCGTCTTAAGCTCTGACCCAGCACAAATGTGCTGATCCGACTGTGGCTTAAAAGAGGGTGGGCCCTGGTCCGTGTGGATATCTTGGGCAACGTAAGGAACACATCACCTACGATCTGATCGGTGTGACCCTCACTAGCCTTCCCCTGTCTCGTGTTGTAATGCAAGAAGGGAGCTGTCCCACGGCCAAGCGCCTTCTGAGTCTTTCAGCCCAACTTAACAGGGTCTGATCTTGAAATTTCCCCTGGTGTCGTGTCTTTCCTTAGGGTTTTGTTTTCCGTAATGCCTTTGCTCTGTGTTCACGCAGCAAGCAAGAGAAATGGTGTTGGAGATCATCCGGGAGAAGGACCAAGCTGACTTCCGAGGCGTCCGCGGTGACTTCAGCGCCCGTGTGGGAGGAGGCAGCATAGAGGTATGCTTGCCCGGCCGGCTGGTTAGTTAGTTCCCAGGCAGACGGGCCTAGCTTTGGGCCCAGCTTTCAGATCGTAGGCCACGCTTTGATCTCATCTTGGCAGCCAGGGCGGGTGTGAGGAAGGACCCAGCCGTAGGGGGAGGAGCCAGGCGGTGGGGGGCATAGCAGCCGTCCTGCATTGCAGGGAAATGGGCCATTCCTCTGGGTTGTGAGGTTTTCCTGCTGCCCAGGTGAGGACCAGAGCCCAGATTTTCTCAGTGCTCTGTGTTGTGATGTATCAGACTTGGAAGCCTGGCTTGGAAGAATGGGATGAAAAGCTTTCCTTTCGAATGAAATCTTGAGATCCGCAGCCCCGTGGGTGGACCTTGCAAACGTCATGCTTAGTAGGATAAGCCAGATACAAAAGGATGAATACCGTGTGATTCCGCTTACGCGAGGTGCCTAGAATGGGCGAGTGCATAGAGACAGAATGGAGAGGAGAGGTGACCAGGGCTGACGGAAGGAGTCTCCATTCAATAGAATACGGTGTTCTGGGGGCCAGCGATGAAAAGGTTTGGGGGATATAGAGACCGGTGATGGGTGCGTAACGTTGCAAGTGTTTAATGCCGCTGAACTGTATACTTATGAATGGTTATGATGATAAAGACTGTGTTCTATTTCACCGGACAAAAGAATGAAGGGCGGGGAAAACGTTTCACGGACCGTTAGTATAATCATTGTGCACGGTACATTTGTGCTTATTTCAGAGAATTGGGAAGATAAGGTTGCCATTTTTAACCTGTTTTTTGATAAGGTTTATCTTGCTTTGCTTCATTTTTGTAACTATTTCGATCGAATATACTTAAGAGGCAGGAATGCCATCGTCAACCATGGTATTTTTCCTTTTCCTAAGAGGGAGAAACATGGTGCATTATATCATTTCCAGGAAGGCACTACAGTCAAAATCAAGTTGTCTGTTCTTTCTTTTCTTTGTCTTTTTTCCTTTTTTAATGTACCCTTTAAGAAACAACCGATTTGCAGACAGCGCTGATCAGGTTCTGTTTCCCTGTGCTCTCAGGTGTCTGTGCCGAGGTTTGCTGTTGGGATTGTAATAGGAAGAAATGGGGAGATGATCAAAAAGATTCAGAATGATGCCGGGGTGAGGATTCAGTTCAAGCCAGGTTGGTTTTGATGACTCTCAAAAACCCTTAGTGCCGCGAAGCATTATAAACGCGCTTAACGAGACAAGGACTCTGTACTTAGCTCATGTGTGTGTTCTCTCCGTGCCCCCCTCCCCTATTCTATTACCAAAATACCAGTCCAGCTTTCTCTGGGCCCTCATGGTGTTTCCAGCTTTCCATTTGGTCAAGTAAAGCCTTCAAAAAAAAAAAAAAAAAATCTGTTATTTTGACTTCATCATTTAAAGGTAAAACCATTTGAAAAAGGACTAATATCTTTGGGGCGCCTGGGTGGCGCAGTCGGTTGAGCGTCCGACTTCAGCCAGGTCACGATCTCGCGGTCCGTGAGTTCGAGCCCCGCGTCAGGCTCTGGGCTGATGGCTCAGAGCCTGGAGCCTGTTTCCGGTTCTGTGTCTCCCTCTCTCTCTGCCCCTCCCCCGTTCATGCTCTGTCTCTCTCTGTCCCAAAAATAAATAAACGTTGAAAAAGGACTAATATCTTAAAACGAAGGACAGTTCCTGAAATGTTATAGATTTGCCTTCAGGAGCAAAATTATTTACATTGTCTTCATTTCCCTGAAGATGGGAAAACATTGCAGTGTGCTGATTTTTGGAAACATTGCCATACCTCAACCCTGCTTCCTTTCGCGTTAATTGCTTTTTGTTTCTGTAATGAGATCTTTTTAAAATGGCTATAGCTTGGGGCGCCTGGGTGGCTCAGTCCGTTGAGTGTCCAACTTCGGCTCTGGTCATGATCTCACGGTTTGTGGGTTCGAGCCCCGTATTGGGCTTTGCACTGACAGCACAGAGCCTGCTTCAGATTCTCATCTCCCTCCCTCTCTCTGCCCCACCCCCACTCGCTGTCACAAATAAATAAAAAGATTAAAAATAATAATAAAATGGCTAGAATTGCATGAGAAGTGAGTGTTGGCATAGACGGTGTAAAAAGAGGTAGACGCATACGTTTCTCTGCGCATCTGGTAGGAATATCGATCGCAAGTCAGACTGACCTTTGTTTCCAAGTTACGTTTGGGCTTTTTCTAACCCAGTCTCTCCCTTTGTTCGGCAGACGATGGTGTTAGTCCGGAGAGAGCCGCACAAGTCATGGGGCCCCCAGATCGGTGTCAGCACGCAGCACACGTCATCAATGAGCTTATTCTTACAGCCCAGGTGAGTCCGGCTCTCTCGAGTTGGGACATGTCCCCTGCAAAAGCTGATAGTGCCACCCAGGGTCTCGGGACGGCACCACAGAGCAGTCGTGCCCTCTCGGTCACATTCTGGAACCCAGGTCTCTTGTCGGTTGCCTGCCTCTGGGGGCACAGCCAGCGGCCTCTCTGCCTCTGCCCGTTTCCTGCCTTCCCGTTTTTTTGGTGCTAGCTTCTCGCCCTCCTGACTTTATGGTCCCAGGATCTAGCTTTTGTTCATTCGGTAAGTTCCTGGCTGTGGGAACTATCTCGAGAAGTACAGTGCAGGTCGCCAGGTTTCCAGCCATCGGGTGCACTGGGCACAGGACTATTCGGCGAACTCCCATCTTCGCTTCAGAAAGCACTTCAGGACCCCCCAGGTCTTCGGGCTGCCTTCAGGCCCTGGATTCCGCACACATCTCTGTCTCGGGGACGTGAGCAGGCGTGTGTGACGCCATTAACATCTCCACCCGCACCCCGGTTGTGAAGTGCCCTGGGAGTCGCTGTGGCCGAGCTGGGTCGGTCGGCGTGTCCCCTGAGGGAAATTTCAAAACACCTAGAGCCAAAGAGAGAAGCATGGGATCAGACACCACAGCCCCAGCTCTGCTGTGAGCCGCGCGAGCTGGGACCGGTCCCCGCATCTCCCTGGGCCGCGTCCTCTCCCCCGTAGACCGAGGGGTGCGCGTCGGGCCGCGCCGCCCACGGGGTCCCCCAAGCCGTCAAGCGTCCGTGCTGAAGTTACGGGTTTATAGCCCCCTCCCCAGACTCCCCGAGTCAGCACACCTCAGAGAGGGGCTTGGGCTTCCTCTGGAGTTATGGGTGATTCTTAGGATCAGATGATCTCAGAAGAGAATCCCTCCGTGAGCCCAGCATCCTTTTTATTTTATTTTATTATTATTTTTTTTTTTTAATTTTTTTTCAACGTTTTTTATTTATTTTTGGGACAGAGAGAGACAGAGCATGAACGGGGGAGGGGCAGAGAGAGAGGGAGACACAGAATCAGAAACAGGCTCCAGGCTCCAAGCCATCAGCCCAGAGCCTGACGCGGGGCTCGAACTCACGGACCGCGAGATCGTGACCTAGCTGAAGTCAGACGCTCAACCGACTGCGCCACCCAGGCGCCCCCCCAGCATCCTTTTTAGCAGAGAAGCGTCTACGGACCCGGAGCTGCGGAGGCACAAGCAGCACCTCCGAGAATCTGATACCTGCCGGGGAGTTGGCTCTGTGTGTGCATGCACGCGCGTGTGTGTGCGAGCGGGCACGCGTTTAACGTCCGTCCCTAAAATCGCCACGTTTACTCACTGTTTGCGACTCATAATAGCCGAGCGCAGGGAAAAAGGCACTCCAATCATCTCCGCTTTCTGCTGGTTTAGATTCTGGGTGAATGCTCAGTTTACTCTTGTCAGCAGAGGCAGGTCTTGCCGAACGTTTGTCCACTGTGTTGAACATCTGTTCAGCTTCTCCCTTCCGTGAAGGAGCTCTCAGCTGGACCAGGTTTGCCCTCAACAGATAAAGAAGATGAGGGGGCGCCTGGCTGGCTCAGTCGGTTAAGCGCCCGACTTCAGCTCAGGTCGTGACCTCATGGTTTGTGGGTTCGAGCCCCGCGTGGGGTTCTGTGCTGACAGCTCAGAGCCTGGAGCCTGCTTTGGATTCTGTGTCTCCCTCTCTCCCCCTCCCCCGCTTGCTCGCTCGCTCACTCGCTCTCTCCCTCTCTGTCTCTCAAAAATAAACGTTAAAAAACCAAACCAGATAGAGTAGATTTTAAATGCTGCAGCTCCAGAGTGACTCAGAGGACCAGGACCTCCGATGGGATTGGCTGCCCCCCGAGGGAAAGGAACCTTCTGCTGGGTGTTGGCCTAGGGTGTTGGCTGAGGGATGTGCTCTCTGCTGGGGGCGCAGCGTGAGGAGTCAGATGCCGCTCCGCCCCCAAACCACGGGCCCAGCCGCGTGGCTTGTTCCCTCGGCCTCGGCGTGGAGGAGAAAACTGGCTCCTGATACCTGGACTGCAGGGCCCAGTCCCAAAGACTGCCCAGCAGAGGGGCGCTGGGCCTCAGACACCGGAGTTTATGTCTGACTGCCTGTTTTAGTTGGATGGTTCAGGGCTGTTTATGTAGCCGCCCACGTTAGCCTGCACACGTCTTCCCTGAACGCGCCTGTGATTGGTGTTAATTCCGGCTTTAAGAGAGCACTTCACAATCTGAAACGTGAAAAGGTGCTCAGGTTGTAATGCGTGGCGTTGATTCCATCCCGTCACTTCACCTCCTCCCCGGAGATGAAAAGTGGTCCCGGTGGCAGTGGCAGAAATCGTCACTCGAGCTTTGCTTCCCTCCCAGGAAAGAGATGGCTTTGGAGGCCTCGCGGTGGCCAGAGGACGAGGTCGTGGCCGTGGCGACTGGAGCGTGGGTGCCCCCGGGGGCGTCCAGGAGATAACGTACACCGTGCCGGCGGATAAGTGCGGCCTCGTCATCGGCAAAGGTAAGGAGGAGGCACCGGGGTCTCCGACAGCAGACAGGTCCCGTACGGTCCCTCCAGAGCGCGCGGGCGGGTCTGTGTGCCGCACTCGACCGAACGTGCAGGGTCTGGGGCTTCCGCCGCCTTCCGCGGGAACCCGACCGGGTCGGGTCTTCTCACGAACACGGGCAGAGCTAGTCGTTGGCTGCCGTGTGTGAACAGACAGCGGGGAAGACCCACCGGCAGCAGAGCAGGCGCCGGTTGTGGGTGAGGCGCCCCGCACGCGAGGGGCCTCTCGGCGTTTGCCGATCGACTGATCGGCGATTCGCTTCCCTCCGAGGAACTTAGAGGAACGGTTAAGATTGTTGCTCAAGTGAAGAGTGCCGTCCGACAAGCGTGTCACTTCCGGTCCTTAGCGGGCATGGGCACTTGGGCCCTGTGGACACGCGGGAGGATGGTGTTTTACGTTTTCGGCTCGTCTCCCGTGAGTAGCAGCCACCCCGCGGAGGGGAAGAGAAAACTGAAGGGATCGTGGTTTCTGGGCTTTGTAGAGAGTGTTAGCAAGAAACCCTCGTTGGCGGCTGGTGTGGCCCCTCTCCACCCTTCCCTGCGAGCAAGGGAAGAGCAGGCAGACATCGCTGCGGCGGCGAAGGTGTCTCCGTGAGGGGTACCGTCCGTGGGCCCTCGGGGGAGCCTCGCCGGGGGCAGCACGTGCGCGTTTGACAACCTGTGGGGGACGCAGAGACAGGCTCCGCCCCAGGGTTTCTCCAGTGTCCGCGACCACCAGCCCTCCCTGACCTGTCGGAGACGTGCTAATGATCCACGGCGCGTGATCCGAGAACGTCTTCGACAGGGAGTTCAGGCTGCCTTAGCGCGCTCTCGTGCGCCTGCACGCGCCCTCCTGAGCCTCTCGGTCACCTTCTGGAGTCTGTGCTTAGCCCTGCCCATGAAGTGTGTACGCGCTTGTATGTGTGCTCTTGCCAAATGTTTATCTCCCGTCGTCTCTTAGATTGTTTACCTTTTGGAGGTGGCAGGAACGGCGTGGGTTCGTTTTAATTTCCCGGCAGGGGATACGTGCTGATGAGCGTTCAGTGGATATTGTCAGCTGCCCAGATGCTGTGTTAAGTCAGAGCCGCCCCCCGGACCATCGGCCTGGCTGCTGCGAGATGAAAACCAGTAGGTGCCCGTAGGCTGAGAATCAGATCTAGGTTTCTGTGCCTTTTGAGAACCGTTTTGTCAGCGAGGTTTGACCGTGCGTCTCCTCTAGACTGGCAGAATCTCGCCGCCTTTACTGTGACCGCTCCCCGGAGTCCGTGAAACCTGGGTGCGGGCAAACGGCCCCTCGTCGTGTGTCCCCGCCAGAGTCCCGCTGGGCAACTCCCGCACGAAAGTGACAACAGTGCAAGGCGGTGACCGATCTTGTGTCCCGGGGCTCCGACAGCAGCCTCGATAACCCAGGGTTCGACGAGCAGGGTCTCTCTCCCCGCCACGCACACCGCACACGCGGGCTGGGTGTGAGGGGCGCGCCTTCTTCGGAGAGGCGCGTGGTGAGGGTGAGTGAGGGAGGCAGGAGAGGGAGCCACAGGCAGCCAGGCCCAG